TGACAATGCCAAAAAGCATTTTTAGCGATTCTCCCCCCACTGAATGTACTGCAGATATCAAGACAAGTAGCAGTAACAGGAAAATAGTTCTGTTATAGAAAAGAATTTGACATAATAATGCATCCTGTTCTTAAGGTTGTTTATGTTTCAAGCAGGACTTTGATATAACCTGGAATACTAAAACAGGGCCCAGGAAAAAGTGGCACCAATTGTGATTAAAAATAAAAGACACATACATTGTCAATCATTTAAATATTAGTGAAAGTAAAATTTGCTAGATACAGTTCAAGAGAATTGGTGCTTTTTATGAACAATTATCATTTTGTGTTAAACAAGCAAGCACCTTTAGCCAGTTACAACATGCTGGTGAGCTACTATGACAACAGCAATCACAACATGAAGACTGCACCGTAAGTGTCGTATATATATCAGGTTTCACACAAAGGGCTGTACTGGTGCTGTTTTGATATCCAAAAGGTAATCCCTATAAACAGATATTCGCATATGAATGCAGCATCTTTAGGCATGGGACAAGATTTTTTTATCGGAGGAGTTCTGGTTTCTGTTTGTAGTCCGAGTAGTATTGACCAAGAACCTTTGAGTGGGCTTTGGTTGCACGCAGGGAAACAGTCCATGTGGAGAGCACAAGAGGCGGAACACATTGGCCAAAATTCAATCTCGGAACCCATCGTCTGACAAAGATTTAGCTTTTTATCAATCTAGGAACCCTAGAGATTAGCTTTTTGAATGTTGGCTTATCTACATACAAGTCTTGGCCAGATGATTTAGCTGATAGGTTTCGAGATTGTCTAAAGGGTGACATATGGTGGAACTGATTACTTTGACCACTGATACCAGTGCTTGGGAAGCACTTGAGTCACATTCACCTTTTGCTTTTGTAAATGACAAAAGAAGAAGAGAAGTAAATTCACTGCACTTCTATTTATTTAGTACTGTACAGTCCACAGTCTGAGGCATCAATGCCAAAGGGAGACAAACTTCCTCTTCTGACTCTTCTGGTTCCTGAGATTGAGTGAGATCACCTGCTGAGTGTGGTTGAATGAGTAATACTGCATGTACGTGCATGTGTGTGTGTGTAACCAATAACCAAGCCTTTCCCAAAAACTGTTGGTGTGTATATGTGTGTCAGGTCCACAACACATTGTTCTGACAGGTAATGTTCTATTGCGTGTTTGTGGAACAGAAAGTGCTGTTTACCCCAATAATGCACACCTTAAAACTGCCCCCATGGCAGCACAGAGGAGACTGAGGGTGTGTGTATGTTTCACTTATCCACCAAAAGATTTATATGTTGGTGGTTGAAAGTGTAAACAAAGGCAAGTCTACACACACACACACACACACACACACACCTGGAACACATCACACATCTCTTTTTGCTTACATCTGGCTCTAAGACACACACGTGCAACTGACTGAAACACACACTCACATTAATAAAGCACTCCCCTACTCCCACATGTTCTGTACATTTATGTTAAAGCCCCCACCCACCTACACACATACACGCACACACACACACACACACACACACACACACACACACAGATGCTAAGGGCCCTGGGGGAGAGGCAGACGCTGAAACTAGTTGTGTTGCTGGGTGTTGTCTACAGCTGGAACTGGATCTAGTTACAAAGACACTCCCTATCCTTCACTTCTATAGCTTACGCACACTGTACACACATGTGAGTAACCTAGCACCCCATCTTTTTCAGTGTAACTATGACCTGGTATGTACACTTCCATGCAAGCGAGCTAATACACCCACTGAGAATTCTAGCGCCACACTACACCAGCATCTATTGGGTTCACGTTGAGGTTACAGTTGGAACAGCAATTGGAGAAGAAATGTGTGTGGGAAAATAAAGGAAGATAATGTGTGGATGTGTGAAGGTGGTTCCCCTCTGGTGATTTGCCTGGTGATAAAAAAAAAAAGAACTTGCAGAGTGAGATTGCTTCAGATCACATCTAAGTGCACCATTGTTCAACTGAAATTGTGTTTGCATAATGACAACGAACCACAGTTACTCTACCTCTCACTCTTTCCTCCCTTGTATATCTCTCTGTTTTCCCTCTCAATCAGCTATAACACTTCTCTTTTATCTTCTTCCAACATCTCCCATACTTTCCCTCTTTTTCCCAGTGTATTTTTTTTCCTCAATGCTTCTTTTCTCTCACTTAGAGTTTTATTGCGCTTTGAACTATCTGAAATCATTGCATGCGCCGCGGGGAAGGGCAGGGGCCCATGGGGCAGTTGAAGGAGGAGGAGGAGTAGAAAGAGGAGAGAGCAACTAATAAAGAATGAAGATATAGAGAAGAAAACAGAAGATGGGAGATTTAGAAGAAAGAGGGATGAAAGAGAGAAAAAAGTAAGGAATTACTTATGTAAGGACAATGGTGCACCACACCCCTGTGAGCCAAAACTCATGTCCAAAAAGATATGGCTACATTACATGACACGCCTATTCCACTGATGATGTCTGGGCTGCAGGGCCGCATTTGGTTTTAATTCATTCAATCATACCAGATTCATACAAGTAGAATACAGCTAAAGGTGAATTGAATTGACTTGACATGCCGACATGGGAGGCAGACAGACTGGCAAAGAGGACTGGCAACTGCACTCACACGCAGACACTTATGGATGAGTAAAGAGGCAGACTGGCAGACGAGGAGGAGAGTATAGACAGAAGGAGAGAAAAGATAGGTGAGAGCAAGAGGGATATGAATGAGGAGAAATAGAGAGACAATGAGATGAAGATGACCAACATGCAACAGACAGGGGAGACAGATAGATATCTGAAGCACACGCAAATGAACAAATGCATGCAGCTGAAGACTGGGCTGAATTAATTGGAAATTTAATCATTACCTTGTGCCTTGGCGCCTGCAGCCAGCAGGCTCCCTAATAGCAGAATCCACAGGTATGACATCATGGGAACACGGTGTTCTGGCTGCGAATGAACCGGGGTTCAGACTCCCTTTCTTTGGCTTTCAAACAGGACAATTAACCGGCTTGGGGGTTTCAGGTGGATCGGGAGGGCGTGTGTGTGTCCGTGTGCCGGTGCGTTCTGGCGCGTCGGATCAAACCGGTGGCGTCTCCAAGGTTCTCAGATGCTCGGCTCAGTGCTTGCCGCCGCGTATCTCTCTCCTTTTGTCTGGATTGGAAGAGGGAAGGTCCAGTCTTTATTAAGGTGGGCGGGTCTATTCTCCCTAAATACAGGCAGACAGACAGCAGTGCTGTTTATGGTGATGTGAAGGCATTACTTACTCATCATTACCGTTTTTTACCATTCCGATTCAATGACCATCGCCAACAATTTGAATTGGACCTCGTCTTTATCAACCCAGCTTTTTGTGGGAAAAGGCTCAATTATCCAAAAACTCCTTCTGCAACACATGCTTTCATTCAAGTCGTCCTCCTTTTTGATACTTTTGAGCAACAGTGGTCATTTTTACACAGTGAGATTAAACAATGTGTCCGTTTTTGCGAGGCATCTAACTTGTAACAAACAAATAATCCTAAAACACATGTCCCTTTAATTTTAATAACGAGTCGAGTGCTGATAAGATCCAGATCCAATTGGCTTTAGATGCTGGAAGAGATTTAAAGGAACACTGTCCCAGGCCTATAACACATCTACATGTAAAGCTATACATTTGCTATGATAAGTAGTCTATACAACTGTCTTACAGCCTAAATACTGCATTTATTAAAATTCCAAGGTTTATGACGACTAGTAGGCCCAATACACGGAATTAATGGATTTACAAATGCAAGGCTTTAGTCCGTTATTAAATTAATAATAGGTTTCCATTTGAGAAAACCACACATGACCTCATGCAAACCAACCAGTAGGTGGACCTGAAAAGCATTTTCCTTTTCCAAACCACTGTAAGCCAGCCACTTTTGCGCCCAATTGAAATGTTTTTACAGGGATTGATTGCCAGGTGGCGCCATTCAGTCATAATTTCCCAATTTACACCTTCAACTAGTCTTTTCCATATGAGCCCTTTCAATCAGGAGCGTAGCACAAAAATCTGGAACCTGTCCATTACATTTACTCATTTGGCAGACGCTTTTATCCAAAGCATTACATTTGAGGAACAACATACAAGCATCAACAGAGTATCACAAGCATTCTCTGTGGGCCCCTCCCTCCATCCACGACTATTCGTTCCAGTATGTTTGTGGGCCCTCCTCACATGAGGGCCCTGTATATTCAGTCCCTTCCCCTCCCCAGTCCTAAGCCCCTGCCCAGAACACCATTCAGTATAACTGCCTTCAAACCACCATAAGGTGGATTAGCAGGCCTATCTTCACATTTTGTATCATAAAATCATAAAACACATTAGCAAATGTTAGACATCAAAGGACCTCATTCTTTTTCAGGAACACCCAGACTACCTCACTAAAACATTATTCATAATTAAAATAAATATGCATGTAGTTTAACAAAAAAATATAGATATTAAACAGTTGGTGCATGTATCCTCTACAGAAGTAACTTGATATTATTACAGTTTTAGGGTAAGAACAAAGAAAGATAATTCATGCAAGGACTAGACAGACATCATTGCAATACCATCAAATGCACATACACGCCCATCTGATTTTCATATACCATCTCCACAGGGCTCATGCAAAATCAGACAAGCCTTGCACAGATGAACTGCAACTGTCAAACATCAAAATCCACTTTCTCTTATCATTTAGCAAAGACAAACTAAATGCTATGTAACTAAAGCTGGGTCAGTAATCTGGAAACATGGTGTGAAACCAGCAGTGTCACGTATTGTCCTCGTTTTCAGTATCACCTTTCACTCCTCTGTACATTTGCTATAAAAATAAAATGAAAATTGATTTTTTTTTTTAAAAGAAATATTTATTAGTGTCTCAGCACATTGATTACATAAAACAAACTCATTAAACAAAGTTATTTAAAAAAAACAAACATACATAAAGCCTCAATTTGGGATTATCTGAGAAAAATTTATTGTTTATTCTGAAAAGGCAGGGTTTGCTGATGGAAAATAATCTCTGCACAACTTTTACATCATACCCAGTTTGCACCACTTTTTGTATGTGTAGCACATGTAGTCAGATTTTGAGGATCCATATATACACATATGTAGTAAAGGTTTCCACTATTTGGTCAGTATTTTTCCCTACACACTGACCTGAGATATTCTTGGGACCAAGTTGATAATTTAGTGCAGTGACTTGATATCAGAAAAAGGGGTGAGGCACATTGAAAGTGTGCTGACAGCATCAAACAACAGATTGTCCCTCCCCCGTTGTAAAAAAAACAAAAAAACAATGTTCATATTAAGGCTATAAAGCTTGACAGCAAAGAATATGGCTCAATTATTGATTGTGTTGCTTTTAACACCACTTTTTGTTGCAGTTTGTACATAGGAAATTGGTGAGGACGCCATGTTCCAGATCCCCAAAAAGCCTCCTACTGAGGCCTTCATGACTGCATCTTTACTCATGGCTCTTTGCATTTGGCACAAAACAATAAACAAATCAATATTAATTACCAAACATGTCAATCCCTCTCTTGTGCTCCCCACCCGTAATCTGTACAAGTACTTGGTCATAAGCACTTTGGTCAGCTATACCAGCATAAAGACTGACTTATGCACGAAGTGCATGACATATATTTGAGGAAAAGGAGGAAAGGAAATGTGAATGTCTACGTGTTCCCTTTCTTAAAAACTGACTTCTGTTAGTGATTGATATCCACTTGACAGTTTCAAAAGACTACATTTCTTATTTAAGGATGAGAAGTAGTAGTACAAGTATTTTCTGTAGCTAATTCCTGACAACAATTCTCAAGTGTTTCCATAACTTCAACTTCCGTAATTTCAATGCACAGTTCTGCTACATTTGGGAGGCCTGGAGACATTGTTTCTAGATGCTCTTGCAGACAGACTATTTGAAGTTTTGCAGACTTTAGCATAGATGACTGGCCAATTATTAAAGTAAAAGTTAAATGCTTTAATGGAGTGACAATTAAGTGTCAAATTAGAGAAAACAACTTTGATGCTGGTCTGCAGTGCTATTTGTGACAAATGTAGTGAAATGCGCAGCTTTTCAAGATGACTTATTTTCACTGTGAGGGATAAATCAAGAGAAGGTAACAACCGAAATATACTGCACAGCTATTCTCACCGTGAACCATCATGCATTATTAGTGCAGGATTTTTCTCTTGGACGTATGCGGTCAGCTGTGTAACAATGAAGGAAAAAGCACAGAAAATTTGGATCATCTGCAGTATAACTTATATCAGCAGAGGAGAATTGTACTGTTTAGACACTTGAATTTAAAAAGGCATGAATCCACTAAATAACTGACTTGGAAACTTTTTCTAAATAAATGTATGTGTGTGTGTGTGTGTGTGTGTGTGTGTGCATGCATGTGAGAGATTAAGACAGAGAAGGTGACAGAGAATCAAGTTGCTACAATTCAACAGCAAACAAAGTGAAGGCAGTATTGGGACTCCCGCTGTCCATCTCCACAAGACTGCTGACGACTGGCTGATGGCCCCGCTGTGAACAATCTGACTGACTACTGTTTTGTTGTAGGATAGGGATTGGCTGGAAAGTGGCTCACATTTTGTTGAAACACTCCTTGGCGTTGGACCACACCTGGACGCCCTGAGAGAGAACCAGAGTGATTTTGAGAGAAAGACAAAACAATGTTTTAGAAAAACAGACGGGGACTGCTGAAGAATCATCAGACCACACAATGCCTGACATATTTAAGTAGGGAAGTATACAACAACAAACACAGAACCCCATACCTTCTTACACATGCTGATCTGCATAATGGCATAGCTGATTAGTGCTTCGCGCAAATCTTTGTCCTTCTGTTCCTTAAAACGTTCAATGTCTTCCCAGGCTGTTCGCACAAATTCTCTTAAGACACAATCACAAACATGTTATTGTCAGTAATTTTGTGGAAGAGTAGGCATGGGGGGTGGGGGGGGGGGGGATGAACAAATAGTGTGGTTCCTTATTTATGTGCTAGTTCCTGCTTTTCTTTATTGATTCTGTTTTCAAAATTACTGAACAATGTTACTGATGTCTTTATAATCATACATAGTACCTGATTGTGGCTGTCTTGTCAATGATTCAAACTTCAGGGGAACAACTCTATCCACCACTTTGTGCTTGGAAAAAGTAATCAGGTATCTGTTCTCCTGTTACTGATGATCCTGAATTAACAACCACTTATATTCCAAAGTAGGGGTGATACATTTACATTATTCTGCACAAGGGTTGAAACGACTCATCGGTCATTATGAATAGTGGGAGACATTTAGACAAATTAGTAAAAGAAGGAGGATTGATTGGTGTTGAGCTTACTGGCACTCTGTGTTCTTCTCTTTGACCGTTTCCTCTCCCTCCTGGATACTCTGCTCCAGGGCTGCCAACCTGCTCTCCCTCTGCTCCTGGCTCTCTTGGCCGAACAGTTTACTGGTCATCCCCTTTAGAGAAAAGACGCGCACTGTCTACACACACACACACACACACACACGTTTTCATTAAATTGGATCACAAAAATATTTTTCAATACGCCTTAATCTACTGATTAATTTATTCTACTGATTTATAGTGCTTTTATGTAACTAGTGCAGTGCCTGTTCACAATTCTGTTTCAACACATTGGTTTCTAATTCATATCAAACCTGCATGATGACCATAATTCGGTTTCAACAATCATTACCACGATGGTTTTAAACAGCATTAAGCTCAAATGCTATTCGCGGTAGCCCACTGCGTAATGAGCTTCCTGTTTTAAACAAAGCTAGAACTTAATAAACTTTTACAACATTTCAACAACCACATTGTGTTGGCATATATCAAATATATTTTGTCGAAACCAAATTGGGGAATGTTGTCTCTGAGCATATAAGCCCTGCCCACCCTGTTGCAGAGTGTAGCAGCTTATGCTGTATTGTAGTTTATTCAAAGTTCTGAATTCTGAATGTGTTGCGTGCCCAAATTGTACCAAATGTGACACTGCACTCCCTTGGGTCATGTGACATGACACATGTATTGTTTGTTTGTTTATTTATTTAAAAAGGACAGTGCACATTAATTAACATAGGGACTAGTCCAATATGTAAATGAGCCACATTTAGCCATACAGGTTAATGCCAGGGACTGCAGAGGAGCGTGGATTTGGGATTGCGTTAAGGTTACAGTTACAACGCGTCATTCCCTGATTCGCCCCTATCTCATGACCCTTTTCTGAAAGAAAACAAATCTACTAGCGAATATTTCAATATGAATAACGAATTGAAGGCATTGCTAACCTTCAGCAGGCATTCAGCAACAATTCCAACTCATCGTCTGTCCAAGTAAAGACATCTCCTGTCTTACTTTTCGCTATTGCTGTTCTTCGTTTGTAGTATTTTCTGCAACTAAGCAACCAACACCGTTCCGTGTACATGAATGGTCATGTGACATAGGATTTCAGGCGTGTTAGCATGGGCAGAGATTATTACTGAAACGGTGCTGAAATACCTGGGTGTCCAGAGATTGTTCTCGTTTTAAAGTGCCAACATATTAGTGTGGATGTAGCTTATGCCAGTGCCTGAGTGTTAGTGTGTTACCCCAGTAGCCAGCTCTTCTTTCTGTTGTTTCTTATGGGCGAGGTCCAGAGCTGCCAACTCCAACTCATACTGGATCAACTCATGTTTCCTACATACTGACCTTCATTAAACACACATATATATATTTTCATAATTAATGAATCTGTAGTTTATAACTTTCTTTCTATTGACTTATTGCTTATTGGTCTAATTGATACAGCAGTAGACAAATTAAAAAGATTACCACCTCCTGAGTCTGCAGTAATTATAGCCTAGTGCTGGGCGATATAGCCAAAAATGTTATCACTATAAAATATTTCATATCATTTGATATCGATAATTATCACAACAAATATCAAATTATTTTTTCTTTCAAGTTTTATGACTGATTTTTGCTCTTAAGTGAAAATTGAAGAAACCATATGGTTAATTGTGTGGTTGAACTATTCTTCATGGTCAGAACGTGACAAACACTTGATGACAAACAATGGATCACTTAAAATTTGAGGCAGAACATTCAACACAATTATGATTAAATCTTTTTCAGTCCCTTTTCCTCAACAAAATAAATATCTTAATAAAAAAAAATTAAGAGCTAATTTGTTCGTGGTTCAAATGAATTAAATCAAACATTTATTGATAATATATTGAACATTTGTTATAGAGGAACATTATATTGTGATAATTATCATTATTGTTTTGCCCAGCCCTAGTTGAGCCCATCCTTAAAAGTCAGTCAGCTACGTAACAAACAATCAAGAACACTCCAGCAGGGTTAATATATGTATGATGCCTAAATGTCAATTCCACTTCAATATCCCATCTGAATATGACTTCAACTTCACATTATGTTAAGATGTCTTCAAACCAAATGGCCATAAAGCTGCTGACCTCAAAAGCCAATGCGGCCATAACGCAACTGAGTACCAACTTGCCATTCTAATGGTCTGTCAAGCCAGATAACAGAATTAGCTAAATAGAGCTAAAGTTTAAATATAGCTATTTAAACTTTAACTAGACAGTTTCTTGTGTGACCTGATATAGAATTATCTTTTTCTTTTAAATTCACACAAACTCTTACCTGACGGCATCAGTGTAGTAAAGGTATTCTTTCAATTGGTCTGCATAGTGCTCTTCTTCCTCCAGAATGTCGTCTATTGTTGCAGCATACCTGTCCACATACACACAAAGTATGTAATGCCCATAAGTGAACCCAAGCAAAAAAAACACAGAAACTGTACTGGAGGTTTCACTCTGATAAAGGACTGTATGGTATCAGATACATAAGGCAACAATAACACAACAATTGAATCTTTCTAACAGAAACACAAAAGGATTGTGTGTGTGAATGTGTCTAAGTTAGTAGCAGGTCTATTAATACCTCAGTAAACACATTTAAGTGTAAGCTAAAGCTTGATTATGTGAGAGGGTACACTAAATGGAGCACATCTTTATTCTATTACTTACGTGTCCATGTGGTGGCCAGCACTCTGTAGACCGTCTCCCATCTCTTTTTCTATAGCACTCCACTCACTGGAGACACAACAATTCAGATGTGCTTGACTTGAGTTCTACAACTCATTCTGTCAGTCCGTTAAGCATAAAGACTTTTCTTAGGAGTAATCAAAGCTTCAGAAGATCTTTAATCATTGCTTTTCACCATGAATAAAAGGAATTACTATATGGCCCCTTTAATATGGTGAATGCACCAGTATGTACAATGCATGTAGAAGAAGTGTACATCTGTTTCAAAAAAATGTAAAGTCCTTAAAGAGACAGATTTTTTAAAAACAAAATTCAACCTAAAGTAAAATATGATATGGCTTACATGTCTCTATAAGAAATTGTGTATTAATTTTATTATATTATTGCAGATTTTATTCATGTAAAATACAGTAACAACAGAACAGGTGTTTCTCACCTAAATACTCTGCCATAGTTCCCATGGACCTTGTAAACTCCATACAGCCTGTCTGCTACTCTCTACAATAAAGACAATCAAATAAATCACTATGAACACTTTAGTCAATATATTTGCTCATAACATCGATTCAAATTCCTTTCTATTAATGTCAAATGCTTGCAAGTGATGACATTCACACTGAGAATCAACACACCTGGCAGCCTGACACAGGTTTTCACTCAATGTTATGGAAAGCCAGAAAAATAAATCCAAAATAATACTGGTTAGGGCTGGGCAATTTGGACCAAAAAGTCATATCCCGGTACTGTTAGCCTGAATACCGCTATAGATTATATATCAGTGTTTTCTGCTAAGTGGGCGGAGGGGGTGCGTTGGTTTTGGCGGGCATGTTTTTACTATTTGTAGTAGCTAGTTTCATATTTCACTGTTTGAATTATACTTCATTCTCCACCTTATTTAAGAGTCACTCACATATTTAATCTGCCTCCTTCAGTTCTCTTCACACTCTCAGACCTAACGTACCTCTGCTGCAAACATGCCAACGTGCCCCGCTTCTTTCCGTCTCTCCCACCCTGTATGTCAGCTCCGGTGACATTCTCCATCAGTAGTAAGCTAAGTTGTATGCACACGAACAAAAAAAACCCCAAACCTATCTTCTGGACTTTTCCTCCTGTGGTTCCGTTCACAGCATCAGCTGTGTTGCATGTTGAGGAGGCGTGGTGACGATGTATGTGTGTATGTGTGTTGTTTGCAAATGCCAAAACTCACCGCCCGCACCCTGAGTAACTGTGAGACAGCAGTGTTCAGTTCATCACTGTATTGTTTCAGTGCAGTGAATCGCCTGGAGAACATAAAAAAATGCATTATAACTCAAACAGTGTTTAACTGAAACTAAGCATTTCTGTGTTTCAGTTGTGGTCGGTTTGTGTGCTGCTCCAGATAAACCACTATCACTCGGGTCATTAGTTTTTAATTCAGTCTACTCATTAAAAACTAAGAAACAATTTCACGATAATTCAGCAATCTGACTAAATGTAATGATGTTTCACTGGCAAACCAATGAAGCCACCTGTCTGTTTTACACCTACTTGTCAGGGTTCTTGACTCTGAACATGGCACTCAGAGACTTTAGCCTGGAGTCAGCCTGGTAGAGAATAGAAGTACAAATACGTTAAGAGGGTTTTATTTTATATATGGCATACAGGAGATTCTACAAAGAGGTGCTTTTGATATGATCCAGTTTGCCTATTATAAAACAAGCCAAGTTAACAACAATTTTCAGTCAAGCAATAGGTACTTAATGGATGTCTGTAAAACAGTAACTAAAGTGTGAAGTAATAAAGCACAATTAACTGTACCTTGTCTTGGAAACCTGTCTCCAAAACCGCCTCCCTCCAGCCCTTCTCCTGAGGACAGATGATTGACAGATGACAGACACATGTTAGATAGGATTATCAACCATACTGCGTAAAAATAGGACTTTCCAGTCGGCAACTGCAGACACCACAAGCAACTGCACTGGATTAAACATGTTGCTACAGATTACAGGGAGGAGATGAAACACAAATCCGGAAGTTCAGTTTAAAGGTGGATGAAATGGCAACTCTGGATGAAAGGATTTTTCAGCTTGGGAAAGTAAACCAGGGCAGTCAGTCATTTTCACCTTCTCACTCAAGGTTTTCTCATTCATGTCAATTGTCTCATGTCTCATTGCAAAGGGCTCCTACCAAAAAAATGTTTCAACGTCTGCAGTGTGATATGCCTTGTGATTGCCCTTTCATTTTTCTACTTCTTTGTCTGTATCCTCCTACCAGTGCAGCCTCTTGCATTGCTTTGCCATATTGCTATTGTCAGTTTGAAGTCTCTGTTAGACTGTGAGTATGTGCGTGTCTGCATGCATATGGCAGAAGACTTCAATGGGACATTATGTGGAACAGGTTTGAGTGCTAACCTCCGTCAGAAAGAGGAAGAAAATTTTGTCATTGGAAAGGGCAGGATGTGATGCAACACGAAGCAGGAAGTTTTCCAAACCGACTCTCCGTCGCTCAACAAAGTCTGGGTCGAGGTTGTCTGCTGACAGCTTGTGCCACACAAACTCTGCCTACAGGAGGCACAATACAGGGAGTAAAAAATAAGAAGTTAGCACCACCTCAAAAGATCCTGACACAAAGAAACAGAGCAAATTATTAAGAAAGACTGAACAAAATATCCACACCACAGATAAAGTAATTCAATAACAAAGTCCATGCATCACTTACAGGGATTGGAAATACCCAGCAAATTAATTACATGTATTTAATCTTTTTAAATTAATTATATTTCGCATTCCACCTCTGAGACACTCACCCTTTTCTCTGGTAGTGGAGGGATGATGATGTAGGGGTAGGTGACCAGGAGGTATGTTCTGAGCAGCTCAAACTCACTGTAGCGTCTCCACAAAGTGTCAGGCGTGGCAGGTGTACCCCCCTCTGAGACAGCTTCAGCGGGACTGCAGACAGAGGAATGGGAATAAACTGTATTTTTAGGTGTCATAGAAGTGGTAACTGACATATGAGCTATTGTTATGTTCAAAGCAACCTGAGACACAGAATGAGCAACCTATCACATCTACCTTTGACTTTACCAATGGCCTGTTTTGAGCAGCGGAGAAGTAATCTTGTCATAGGGATAGTGATTATCTTTCACTAGTGGAAAAAAAACTTAATTGGAGTTCAGAGAGCTCCCTCCGTGCCAGCTGAATGGTCAAGTAATCGTCTCAACCACAGTAATGAAGTCTTTCTTTTAGAGGAACGGGGGTCTAATGAAGTAGTGTATCAGTGCAAGCTATTCTTGTCCTTCATGTGGTTAATTTAACCAGATTAAATAAGCAATCTTAGCAAGTGTGCAAATCTTTATCCTACCTACTGACAAAAGTTTTGCCATTGCACTATAAAGGAACTTCAAGTTAAGAACAAACTCTTTAATATAAACATACAGCTGCAATTATCAGATTTGGTCAAGGACTAAAATACTGTCAAGACAAAAAGCTAATTTCTCTTTACTAGCACCGGTAGCATTAAAATCCAATCAAATAATAAAATACCCAGATATTCCCAGCTCTGTTTCAGGCTGCCAAGCTATATCTTTCAGGGAAGTATATGGCTCAATTTCTGCACGACCATATTATGTACTACAGACAGGGCAACAGTCAATAGTAGTGATAAAGAGTGAAGGAGGTACTGTTGGATTTACTGTTCAAAAGTCTGTTGGCTTGTGGGTAGAAACTGTTTGATTGACTTTTTGTCCTCTCCTGTAGTGTCTACCTGATGGCAGAAGTGTGAAGAGACTTGTTGTGGGTACTCACTTTGATGACGGTGTACAAATGTCCAGAACTAATCGGAAGGCTACTCCTGAGATAAACTTTGCAGTTTTTAATCACACGCTGGAGAGCTGGAGCGTTAATGTTATAATCAGGGTGAAGAAACTGAACATATTTCATGTATTGCACAAAGCACCAGTAGATTAGAAGCAAATCACAAACAACAGATGGCCGTTACATGTCAGGAGAAAACCAAAAAGCAGAAGCTCCAGGTTATGACCTACCGTGTTTCTATGAGGTAAACGGTATAGGTTTCCTGCATATTAACAGCGTTCTTCCCTGTTCTCTTCTCTGCCTCTGCCACATTTATCTCCATTTTTCTCAACAGAGCTGTCCCTCGTTCCACCATCTACAAAGACAATAAAAATGTACAGGAGGATGAGAAAAAAAAGACAATGATAGGGACAGTTTAACATAAAGGTTCAGGTGTGAGAATCAGAAAAATATAAAGAATTGGTTCTCAGGGCCCAAAAAATTAAATGTTCCACTCTGTTGGACAATAAAGATGTATTCTAGTCTATTCAATTCACATACAGGTAAGCATGAAACCTGATGAAAACACAGAGGGACAGGTAAAGTTAGCTGTCTCACTGGACTTCTTCACACAGGGTTATGACAAGCATGTCCAAGTCACAAGACGAGACAAGTACTAAAAAAAAATGATTCTTTCTCACTAGAAACCACGGCAACTAAGACCTGGATTTGCAGGACCCAAAGAGTTACTCCGGTTACTTTCAACAAAACTTTAGTGTTAGCATTTAGATTTGCTAGCTTGCTAGCTAACGTCAGGAGGAAAGTTTACAAAGTAGCTAAGGACCACTGTTAGGAAAAGCAACCTTAACTCACTGTGTATATTTAATGTTATCTTGCAGAGCTAGTCACTACGTTTAGCTTTGAAGCAGGTTAACGCTAACCCCCCCCAGCTTTTTGAAACATTTTATGTAGCAAGTCCCCGTTGCTAACGTTAGTGTGTCGGTAACTTAACATTACGTTAACGTTAGGCCTGTTTGGGAAAGTTTTCACTAGTGACACCAGGTTTTTCAACTCCAAAAACGTTTGTCGTAGAAAATAACAAAAAGTATTACCGTGTTTATAATGTTGTTCTCGGATTCCGTTGAAGTGATATCGGTGTTACAGATCACAGCGACTTCTTCGGTACTTCCAGAGTCTGCCATCATTTCGCTGCTGTTGTCAGCTGAGCTGGCTGACTCTGTCCTCTGCTGTGCGCATGCGCGTTTCAGTTACCAGTGATTATACTTTTCGGTACAAAAATATATGTATGGTGTTAATTTATCACTTTTCGTTGGATCATAAATGGCTGGACAAATATAAACACAATAAAAGAAAATAAAACAATGAGTGAATGATACTATCTACGAGAGTAAAAACAACATAATATCAGAATAATCTCTGGCACCTCTGTAACAATGCAGTTAGGGGTAACATAAACTGAGTGCATGCAATCACACCTTGAATTTGTGCTGAAGTGGTTCCAACTTTTCAAGTGTTTCAGTTAAGCGCAACACAATTGTAATTCCTTGTGTAAATGTGCAGGTATTACAAAACATGATGATGGTTGAAATTGGGACACATTTGAAGCAGTTCAGTTTATGGTTTCTGAAAGTTTCCATGCAGCTGTGCTAAATTGGTGAACTCATTACTCTCCCTTGGCATCGTTCTCGTCTTCCTTTGACGCCTTCCTTTGGAAAGACTGACATCTACTGGTGAGGGTTTGGTTTGGGATTAGTTTGTTTCCATGTTGCCCCCAGAGTCCATGCTTTTTGTTTATATTGTTTAATTTTGGAGGAAAAAACAGCCACCATTGACTTGCCCCCCCCCCCCCCCCCCCCATGATTAACAGGTAGTTACAACAAACAGTATGATACTTGTGTGTTCAAAATTACCCAGCCTCAACAGTGAGGTGCCATAAGTGATGAGTTTCCTCACTGTGGTACTATCATTTGGTTCCTCTCTCATTGGTTGTCGATGGTTGTGGGCCCAGATGTGGATGAGAGGGATGCGGTATGCCTCAGGCTAGTAAACAGCACAGAAACACGGCCTTTTAGTTCCTGTGGTTACGCTGTTGTGCAGCGTTTAATGTTTAAAGAGAAGGGTGGAGCCGCATTTAGTAAGGAAGCATTTTATATAGATGCCACTGGGCATGGAGTGGGGTGTTGGGGAGTTGTGGGATGTGGAGTGGATGAAAAAGAGAAAGACAGAAGGAGTAGAGAAATTCATACAAGGGGGGAAAAAATTATATAACAGTGAGATGAATTACAATAATGATCAATTGTAAAATGATCAGTGATACAGGCGCGGTAGGTAGCCTATAGACGGACGGAGGGATGGATGGAGTGATGGTGGGATGCGGTTTCGGGCTGCAGCGTGTCAGGAAACCCAAAGCCTGCGCTGTGACCAGCCGTAGTCACAGCAACAGCATAGTTACCATTCTTTCCTGCCACTGACCTCAAACCAGCCACTACCACTTCCTGTCCGCACACACTGGCATGCAGAAAAACACATATGCACACACACCTCTAGCCATGTTTGAATGACTGTAATCAGCCATTTGACAACTTTTTAGAGTCCTCTGACCAACGTTCTTGAACACTAAGCTGCAATAAGCTATGTAGGCTACAGGGTGTGTGTGTGTTTCTTCCTGTCTTGCCTATATTTGGAAGAACTGAGCTAAAGCTGCTGAATGACTACCATTCAGATGGGTATGTGCGTATTATATACATAGACTCATGTTCTTTTCAGTGTTCATTCTGTTGTCTAGAAAAAATCTTTCCTTTCACTGGTTTATTTGACTATCTGTTATAATATCTGTTAATCACATAGTTCCTTTGCACATTCATTGGTTAGAGAAACTGATTCATCTGTCAAAGTTGTTGAAGTTTGACTGTTGAACAGCAGAGGGTAGCAAAAATCCATTAATGATGTACAGCAGCCTGTGGCGCATCAGCATGAGAATCAGAATTAGTATGTCCCTCACAACAGAGATTGGGAATGCTGTAATATGAGTATGAATGAGTATAATAGATCTCTTTCACAGCTGACATTTTGACTTGTCATAGTAGGAAAGGTGCAAGTGTTATAATAACAACAACATTAAGAACAATAACAACCAACAATGGCTCAGTTCTATTCAGGTGTCCCAGTAGCCATGACAGTATGACAGTGAGCCAGCATGCACACTACCAGTACCCTGAAACGGAAACATCTGAATGAAACTCAGCCATGAGTAATAACATCACTGTGTCTAAATGTGGATTTAGTGTACACATTGCTGTTCCACACACTTATCCTGGGTTCACTGTTCATATGCTATTACAGAGTGGTGCTTTTGCGGTATTAGTGAGTATTACTAACATTATAGTGACTATACTGTATTACAGGTGTGTGTGTTTTTTTTTTTTTTTTACGTGTGTCTGTGTGTACACGTTGTATACAAGGCTGGTCACGAAGGTCATAAAGAGGAAGTCCTAGTGGTCAGTAGAAAGGAACACGTTTCTCTTCATGTCATAGTCGCCATCCTTCATTTCCTTTCCTTCATCCGTCTATTCTTGCCTTTGACACTGGTGGAAATCTCATGCAGTGTGTTCAGTAGACCTGTATTTGTGTGGGCGAGCCTGTATAGTATATGCATGTGAATGAAATGCCATAATGGAGTGAAGCCTCCCTGGTACTGTAACCTCTATTTTTCTATTTAAGTCCTTAATGTTTATTATGTAAGTGACTGTAAGTGAATTTTAGTTTGGCCGTACACAAACAGACCTCATTCTAACCTCCACCAGCATCCAGATCAATTAACAAATTATATTTAAAATAACTATTTGATATTCTCCATATTTCTACCCTTATAGCAGGAATGGAAGTGTGTGAAATGTAAATTAGAAGACTATGTTATTACAATGATTTTAAATTGAGACAAAATATGGCAGATCATATTCGTCTTTTTAATTGTTACAAACTTTATTTCTGTTTTAAATACTTGTGCCAAATCAACATGGCTTTGAAAATAAATTTCTTCACTTCTTTCCCATTTCTCGTACACATTTAAATATTTTCCTCCATTTTTTTCTCCCCCATCCATCACCAGAGTGTTGACAAATTAAGATGTGCAAGTCTCACTGAACGCTTCTCTGCATGACTGATGCTGCTTTCCAACAAGCTTACATACTTCCATGTGTATGCATTTACTGTATATGGGCACACACATGCAAACACACATGCAGAGTGTGAGCAATGCAGTATAATAAGCAGCGTGGCAGAGATGTGGTCAGATTTGCCCCATGTGCAATCGTTGAGAAGCCACATGAAGGCTTCTGGGTATTAAAGGACAAGCCTTGGTTGGCTGGGAGGGAAGCTGTCATGCAACAAAACTGTGTTTTTCACCCTTTTTTTCTCTCTTTCATTTTTTCTCAATCACTTTTTTTTTACCCCTCTTTCCAAGTTCTGTCTTTCACCAAATTCTCTCTTCTCTTCTCTCTCTGTCCACTTTTTTTCTCCTTCTTCATTTCTTTCATTCTGTGGCATATTAGACTCAGTTGTAATACTCTCCAGCTTAAAATGCTTAGACCACTGGAATGTTCCGTCAAAGAGGTGGGCGGGCCCAGGGGGCGGGACAGACCAGCATAACCAATTAAGGAGGAGATTGAGGTAAGACGGACAGCTTCTAAATGGTGTAATAACAACCTACTAAAATGTAATTACAATGCAATAGCAATAGACACTTCTAATGACAGGATCTATATGCCAATGTGATTTCCTAATTATGGCCTTGGCATAATGGGTGACTGTTAACATGGCGTGGAGATTATAGAGAGGTGTCTGAATGCAGACATTCAACCACAGGGACTTGTAACAGTGTTGAAGGGCATAATGGCCACTCAGAAGTCCAGCCAAGTATTGATCTCAACAGGTTAGTGTGTTTGAGAGGCAGCCGGAGAGTGAATGAGTTAGTGTGAACTTGAGTGAGTGATTCAGTTTTATCTATTGAGCCACCTATCCATTTGTCCAATCATCTGCCCATCCATTGAATCTTTTTATTAATCTAACAACACTCTATCTGGCTATTGATGTAGGTTTTTGTTTTTTGTTTGACCTATTCCTCTGTTGGTCCAATTTCATCTCCGTCCATCTGTCTTTCAGTCTGTCCACATGTGATGCTGCCATCCATCCATCTGTCCATCCATCCATCCATCCGTCTCTATCCCTCCATCCATCCTTCCATCTCTAACAAGAGGAGTGGATGGTGGCATCCATTATTACAGAGCATCCCAGAATAGAGTCTCGTTTTATTACAAGTCCCTCTGGTCGCCGTGGCTACCCAAATTACAGGCCAGGCTTCTCACACATAAAAAAGGTTGCGCTGCCGAAAACCAGCCACCTCAATAAAGGATGGATTAGAAAATCCTTTGCTTTTTTCCCTTCCTTTCCTTTTTGAAAGGTTTTCTGTACATTTTTTTCCCTCTGGTGTTTTGTTTTATGTTGGGGTGCAGCGGTCTTCTTCAGTGGTTTTGCTCCCCGACCCTGCGGCGGGAAAATACGCTCACTTGTGGGTTTCTGGGAAGGCAGCAGTGGACGAAACATCTGCTGGGAGCAAGATCTATGTAAGTGTTTGTGTGTATGAGCATGTGCATGTAGGGACACTGCCCTGGCATCATGTTCGAGTTTACAGATCTGTTTGAGTGATAGCAAAATAGTAAGAGATGGTGAGAAAATATTCACTATACATTATTTTGTAGTTTTGAAAGAGGTGTGATGTAAAGTTTGGTTATTTAATAATAATAATAGGCTATCTTGTGAAAAGTGTAGAAAGGTAAAACACTTGCACACATTGAGTTTTCATTACTGTTCTCAAGTTTCAACATTTACATAACTGACACAGGATGTAAGACCCTTGATCATTGTTTGGTGTATCTTCCCAACATTACAAAATTGTATGGTAAGTGTTCACATATTCGTTGACTAGCCTTCAATTCAGATTAGATATTGCCTACATGTGTTTGAGCTAGCAGAAAAAAAAGCTAAAATTAGTATGCCTAGCATTCAAAGCTTCATCATTCCTATGCATGCAGCTGACATAATGAGGTGCAATGTGACAACTGTCAGATGTTTATACAAAATCTCCTCATGAGGCAAGCTAATTTATGTTATGCATCAACAAGTACTACATAGCTATCTTATTTGGCATTAGCTACATCACATACCT